CCCTATAACACTATATTCAGAGAGAAATTCAACAAAATTTATTCAAGTTTAAACGGCATTAAAATTGGAAAAATAAATAAAATCTAAAATCAAAATATGAGATGCACACCTTTAGAGTCCCTATAAAGCACATGTGTAATCTAAATGAATTCCATAAAGTAGTTTTTAAGGAGAAGTGGATAACGTACACCCCCTGTTGTATGGGACGAATATGGCGGGGGCATAAAAATCTGTAAATAGCAAAATGCACCATTTCAAAATTTGCCTAATATGTCTGCCAAGTTCTGTTGAAAGATACTGAACGCTTTTCGAGTTGTGCACCGGAAATGAAGCCCACCCCTCCCTTTTGGGACTAAGTCCAAATCGTTTCCATGAAAACCGAGAAAATAATAAATCACAAAAATATGCAAATAGCAAAAGGCACCACTTTGGGATCTGCCTCACATATCTACCAAGTTTTGCTGAAAGATATTAAGAAGTTTTCCAGTTGTGCTCCGGAAACGAAATCCACTCCTCCCTTTTGGGACTAAGTCCGAATCGTTTCCATGGAAACCAGGAAAAATAAAAATGCCAAAAATCTGCAAATAACAAAAGGCACTACTTAAGGTTCTGTTTGATATATCTACCAAGTTTTGTTGAAAAATATTGAACAGTTAATGAGTTATGCTCCGGAAACGAAGCCCACCTCCACTTTAAGACTAAGTCCAAAACGTTTCCATGGAAACCGAGAAAAATATAAATGACAAAAATCTGTCAATAGCAAAAGGCACCACCTTAGGTTCTGTTTAATACATCTACCAACTTTTGTTGAAAAATATTGAACGTTTTTTTAGTTATGCTCTGGAAACAACATGATTACTGATGGACGGACAGACAGACGGACAGACGGACGAGGCGTCGACTATATACCCCCGCATTACATGCCGGGGGGATAAAAATACAACTGAGGCAGATTACATTTCAGTTTTTGTACTGTGTACAAGGCTCTGTTTACAGCATGGCTCCAGTTAATGTCAAAAGTTAAAGTGTGGAATTAATATGAATACAGATTTAGAGTAATATATAAATTGTGGATTAATTTAACTGAAATGAAATATGTTCCATCAAAATTAGAGTTTTGCATCTTAGATAAGATCCTTAGGGAATTTGAGCCTTCTAAATATGTTCACAATCCTTAAGAATCAGGTCATCGTGGATATTCTTTCAAACGCCCCATGCCTAATATATTCCTCCTATCTTCCTTCTGTATCCTGAGAAATCAATAGAACCAAACAGGCTGTTCGTTCCAATATATCTCATTTCATGCAGTCAAAACCTGATGCCAGCTGACAGAACTCTACATCTTTTAAAAAGCATCCATAAAATTTCACTTCAAACACATGCACAGTTTCATATAAGAATTGACGTCAGTGTTTTTGTGTTTATTCGACTGAAATATAATAACTGGTGCGCATACCTATGTAAATAGGTTTAGCGATGAATTCTTTGTTTCTTTAACATTTACTGAGTGATGTCTAGATACAAGAAAATATGAAGTGTTATTAAGTGAGGTCTGTTGTGATGGAAAATGTTACCATAAACAGGAAATTTCTCTGGTCTTGATAATGATTTCAAAGAAAGCATCAACAACAGATCTCATGGGGGCTCATTCACCAAAATGTGAATAATGATTTAAACACAATGTGATGTGGGCAGGAACTTTGATGAAATGGACTACCACATACAGTGAGTGAGTGAGTGAGTGAGAGAGAGAGAGAGAGAGAGAGAAAGAGAGAGTGAGAGAGAGAGAGAGAGAGAGAGAGAGAGACAGAGGAGAGAAGGAGAGAGTGAGTGAGTGAGAGAGAGAGAGAGAGAGAGAGAGAGAGTGAGTGAGAGAGAGAGAGAGAGTGAGTGAGTGAGTGAGAGAGAGAGAGAGAGAGAGAGAGAGAGAGAGAGAGAGAGAGAGAGAGAGAGAGAGAGAGAGGGGTTTGATTGCCCATATGGGTACAATGTGTGGAGCCCATTTCTGGTGTCCCCTGCCGTGACATTGCTGGAATATTTCTAAAAGCGGGCGTACAACCCAACTCACTCACTGAAGTCTTACAACCAATCAGATCGCAGCACACACTCCCGTTTATTCAACGATCTGGTCTAACCCGCCATCAAACAATATTCCACTGGTATCACAGCATGTTAGTCTGATGCCGGAGGTGATGCAGGAACAAAAAGTTGACAACTTTGGTGGAGCCAAATAACCATAATGAAATTGGCTCGGCAGACAAATTAAACACATTTAGAAGTTTTAAGTGCTTCAGATAATTCTTTCATCCATTGAATGTTTACTTAGATTTAATCATTCTCAAGTTTACTCCCCTAGGTTCTCCAGTCTGTTGGATATGTTTAAACTGAATTTGACTTCACCACTTCAGAAAGATATCGGTTATGAGCTCAGCCAATTGGGTGGTATGAATACTCTCTATAAAGATTTTAAATAGCATCATGTGACTCCATCTCAGGGTTTTTGTTATTATGTAACAACATTCAAAGCCTGAGAAATTCTTTCTGAAAGTTTTCTGAAAGTCAAGCAGAGGGCGTTCAAACTTTGACTCAATCAGTGACAAACTATGATGTCTAATGAAATCACTATTTCAACTTGTACTATATGTTCCTGTCTTTTTTTTTCAGGTAGAAAAGAATTGCTTTGCCTTTGCATGTATTTGTGACCGGTATTACCGACAGGACAGGATATGCTCACGTTTTCTTGAACACCTGGTATCGTCACTATTTGATAGTAATTAATATCACATTCTGATGACATACAATGAACAACAGTTAGAATGAGTTCAAGGGGACCACTAGTTTTATTTAATTTTAATGAGTTTGTGAGTTTAGTTCTAGTTTTAGCAATATTCCAGCAATATCACGAAGGGGGACACCAGAAATGGACTTCACATATTGTACCCTTATGAGGAATCGAATCCGGGTCTCCAGCGTGACGAGCGAATGCTTTAACCACTTGGCTTAGTAACCCCGCCGCCCCTTATTTAATTATACCCAAGTTCTAATATATTTCTTGTGATGTGCATAGCAGTCAGTTTAGCAGGGAATTTTTATGTTGAGTAGATGCACTGTGGTAATCAAACTCAGTACTAGAATGGGAAGACTACAGCAGTTGATTATGTTAGCATATCCGTACTTTCACAAACTGCCAGAAAGCCAGAACAAACAATAGTGTGTTTTAGGTGTCAAGGACCTTCTTGGTATGGATCGATAGTAGGGCTGGGACGGGTAACCCGGATACCCGGGACAGGTGGGTAATGATATGGACCTGGGTACAAGTGTCAATACCCGGACTCGTTATGAACATGTGACTAATAGATTAAACAATGTAATATGTTATTCTTTCATGATTACAAGGTCGTATTGTCTTTGATGATTTAGACATAATAACAGTCACCTCTTTTGAATACAACGATATTGAAAAACTCGAAATATTAGCCTTCGACCAGAAGAATATATTGCCATTGCTTACAATTTGATGTCAGGAATTAACATAACGGGTATCCGGGTAGGGTAGGGTAATAGGGGTGGGATACCTGAGTCGAAAATTTGGACCCTTCCCAGCCTTAATCGATAGGAATGATTCTTTATTGTACTTTACTTTATTATACCTTAGTTAAACTGTTCAATTACCATAAAATTGAGCTCAAGTTAACAGCAAAATGTGAGCCACTGTAACTTGATAACACCCTCATTTTTCCTGACAATGTCAATCATGTTGCTTTACAATGTCATAGCTAACTTGCACACTAACTTTAAGAAATATGTCATCAAACTGTATTATTTATCATGCAGCTCTGTGGACTTGCATTACAGTGTGCATCACAAGATATAGTTAACGGAATGCTAGGCAACAATGAACAGTGATTATATTTAAAGAAATCTTTGGTGATATATTCTCTCCTTATATGCAGGTGCCAGTAACCATCTTTGCAGTGTCAAGCAAAATAAAAAAACTGACATTCTGATAGCTCACAAAATTCTGATAGGAATCAATGGTGTGGAATCACAAAAATCACATGCTTCCATTGATGTTAAAGGAATCAAATGGTGTGGAATCGAAGCTTGAGGTCAAATCAACTGTAATGGTGTCTTCCATCAACTGATGACATTTCAAAACCAGGGCCCGTTCCACAATGTGACCGTAGCGCTACAACTGTCAGAAATCTGTGTTAAAGTTACAACTGTCGTAAATATGTGTCAAAATTACAACTGTCATTAATCTGTGTTAAAGTTACAACTGTCCTAAATCTGTGTTAAACTTACAACTGTCACAAATCTGTGTTAAAGTTACAACTGTCGGTTAAAGTTACAACTGTTAAATTACAACTGTATTAAAATTACAACTGTCATAAATCTGTGTTTAAACAACTTTACAACTGTCCTAAATCTGTGTTAAAGTTACAACTGTCATAAATCAGTGTTAAATTTACAACTGTCTTAGATCTGTGTTAAATTTACAACTGTCACAAGTCTGTTAAATTAACAACTGTTGTAAATCTATGTTAAAGTTACAACTGTCTTAAGTGTGTGTTTGATGGCTTTGTCAAACAAGGGCCAAGTCCACTACCTCTGTTCTTTATGTGAAGGACAACTTCCTTCTGTCAAATGTTGTTAATATTGTTCTTATTAGGTTATTTCGGTTATGAAAGACTTTGGGCCGATTCTATTCATTTACTGAACAGTAACACCCCTTTCTTCACAAGGGATTATTGTAGTAAGGTTGTTTCTTCGAATGTCATCCTTCATTGTGCAATTAATGACCTACTGACGTCCCAAATCAGATTTGCAATTCAGCCTCCATTCTTCACAAACCAAGATTCTGTGAACATTTCGTGTTGAAACCCTTAGTGGGATCAGCTGTTCACTGATGAAATTGATCCTCGCATTGAATTGTTTCTTATGAATGGGAAAGATGGTGAAGATCAAATTATAGCCAAACATAAGGCCTAAATAAAAAAATGTTATGGTTCCGATTACCCGACGGACCCCTGAATTCTGGTAGCCGAACCTATTTTTTTTAAGCAGACTGAATACAATAAGCTTTCAGATACCATTGTTTTTCGGTCATTCTGATAGAAAAAGTCGACATGATGGATGCAAGCTTGATTGAATAAACAATTACACATTGATACATGTGTTATTAGTTTGTACTTTACTTCTAAAAAAAATCTGTGAAAAAAAAAGAATTCCTACCTACCTACCCTAAATTTTAAAGAGGTGTAATCGGAACCACAACATTTTTTTATATTTGGCCTAATGTAATATTCACTTGTCAAAACAAGGTCACAATTCAAATAATATTCAAACACAGAACAAACTGAACACAAGTCAAACATAAGCAAATTGGTCATTGTGGTTGATCCACATACTTGGTAGATACTTTATTAATGAAGTACTGACATCAAATGACTTGGGTCATTTCTCAATGCAGAAATATCCTGATTAACCATACTCAACATTGAATTAATGGCAAGTGTTTCAAGGAGGTCATGTGAAGCCCATTTCTGGAACCCCACCCACCCCACCCCTAACAAATAATCATTGTCACACAAATTAAACACTGGAAGGTCCATTTATTTTGTGTTTGTTTGTTTAACGCCGCACTCAGCAATATTTTTGCTATATGATGGCGGTCTATAAATAATCGTGTTTGGACCAGACAATGCTGTGACTGACATCATGAGCATTGATCCACACAACTGGGATACGATGACATGTGTCAACCAAGGAAACAAGGCCGACCAACTGAACGTGTTAGTTACCTGTAACTACAAGCATGGGGCACATGCACCGAAGTAAATATTACTCATCACTTCAGTCTCTGCCATTTTGTAGTCATGGATGCTGGGTCAATAACAACAAAAAGAAAAATCACCCGTGTTGCAGCAGTTTGTCAATCAGTTTCCAAGGGTAACATCATTTGTGAATGATTTTCTGTATAGATTTTTTGGTAAACGATACAAATAATGATGGAAACTCGTTACATTTTTTTTACCCAATACACCAAAACTAAAACAATATTGTAGTATCATTTGAAATATGTATTGATGTACACTGTAAATACTGTGCTGTCGTATTTGTTTCAAAACCATTCAGAGACAATTAACCGACTGTCATATCGATAAAGATTGCACAGTAAAATTGACAGGTAGGTCAAATGGCCAACAAAAATAAAACTGTTCTCATATGGTATACGCTATGGACATTTTATAATGATACATAAAACATGAATTACATTAATAAGAAACATATTGATATTCTTGAATAAAGGACAGCAACATCTCGAGATCAGTTGTTTTATAATATTTCTGCTGGATGGTGTTCATATTTCCATCATAAGCTGAGTGAGTGAGTAATGTTTTACGCCACTTTTAGCAACATTCCACCAATATTACAGTGATGGACACCAGAATTGGAGTACAGACAATGTACCCATGTTGGGAATCAAACCCAAGACTCATGCATGACGAGTAAACACTTTAACAACTGACCCACAGGCCAATGCCATGTAGAATTTATCTCGGGCCTGAATATTTTCAGTTTTGTATGGGTCCTTATGCCCTGCAGTTAATTCATGTTTGAATATAATTATATTTTATTTTTAAATGACGACCTAAGAGCTTAATCAGGGCCTGCAGTTTCAAAAGTCTGTGGGTCCTAACCGCAGCCTGGCAATTATTTTCAGTTTGGCTGAAAACTGTTTGAACAGGGGCGGATACAGCTTTTTGAGAAAGGGGGATGCACACTATTGAGAAAAGGAGGGGTGCACACTTCATTTTCACCCCAGTTTCAATGGTCAGTTAACAAACTTTCAGCACAAGGGGGGGGGGGGGGGTTGCTTGCACCCCCCTCTGAATCCACCTATGTTGAACATCATTTCAGTTAATTGACAGAATATCAGCTTGATGTGGGAACAAGTCTGAAATGGCTTGGACATTTACCACTGATAACAAAATAAATATATTTATTGTATGAAATGATATTTAATACAGCATATTTTATGTATAACACTGAATAAATCATACCAAACACTGTCGGTTCCACAGATTGAATCTTTCCCACTCGACCTATGAACGATTGTTTTCATTTGAACATTAACTTGATAACAGGGATAGGTAGATTAAACGGTATTGGACCGATGTATCATTGTGTCTAATCATGCTGATTCAGGGCCACTGTCTTCTCTGGGTGAGTTTCCCCAGGGATAACACCTCTCAGACATATTGCCCTGTCACATGTATAATGCTCATTTAAACAGACGACGATATATCAGAGCATAGTAACGACTCGGAAATTATTAGCGTTTCTGTAAATTATGACATTTACTACAACCCATACAGGGCCTCGACTTAAAAGCTAAATGTCACGTGAATAACAATCGGAACGACAGGTAGATCTACACGGATCCTTCATCATGACAGGGTGGTTTTGTCGTTCATAACTTTTGTCATAAAACATTTAAATCTGAAAATATTATGTAGATCTCTTACGAAAACATACTGTCATGTCACAAACGTGTTCACAGTTGTTGAACGGGAACATATTCGCGTCAATAAACCTGTATTCGGGTCTCAGAGGGGCGTTATAACGAAACATGGGCACACCTATCCGGCAACACGGTGAATCAATGTAAGAAAAGAGAGACTTACCCTATTACATAGCTGATGACGCAGAGCTGGAGAAACCTGTTGATTATGCCGACTTTTTTGCTCTTTATGTGAACGATCCTGGGTGTATCGTACTCAAAAAACAGACTCACAGCTGACCTCACTAACTTGGGAGCCATGTTTCGACAGGCGGTCGAGTAGCGAGTCATGTGATTGAGCTGGCACGTGCCGCTTCCCGCTACAACAACACTGTCACTCCGCTGATAAGGCTGATCTCGCTACAGCACTAGTATTTGTTTCTGTCAACGCCAGAAACTTCCCTTACCTTGCAATATTGCAGCAATCATGTGCGTCGTGTAAACATTACCGAACGCTGTGCCAAGAGGCCGATGGGGAACTTAAACCAAATTGTAATTTTGTCGATGCTGAAATAATGATCCACGCTCTTTCTCACTGAGCGAGTTTCCGATGGGAACGAAACACCCCTTTTTCTATCGCAGTGCTGCAGCTTGATCCAGCAATCATCATTCTTCTACTCATATTATTTGGTTTGTCACATAGCTTATGAAAATATATTTCCAGGGATATATGTGACGGCGACGTGAACAGGTGTACAACTATATCTCCTTTCTTGGTTAATACTTATATACTGCATCGTGCTAAAAAACCTTTTCCGTCTTGGGAGAATGCAGATTGGATGTTGTTTTGAAATACGGAGGCTGGAACGCTAAATATAATTATGTTGCTTTCCAGTCTGTGAGAAGCTGACAAGTGCCGCACCACGTACAGTCAGTCTTGCAGCCCATGCAGATCACGAACAGCGTGGACAGCGAGTTAAATTTCATTAATCATGTACATAGTTGACACACCTAGAATTTCTATAAAACTCGACTACCGCTTGATCAAGTTAGCTTCGTGTTACAACTTCGTTCTGTGCGAGACCCCGATGGATCCAGGATATACGATGGGGTCGGGGTTTGGGCGTGTATACCCAAGTTTTAAAGTGAAAGAAAGAACATGGAAGGTTGTAATTTGGCAATTTAGTTGTCTAATAATATCCTCTTATCTTATGTCTCAATTTTGTGAAGGCAAATTTGTGCAACAGTCTTAAAAAATACAACCCCTGCCGTGGTATTGCTGGAATATTGCTAAAAGCGCCGTAAAACTAAACTCACTCACTCACTTAAAAAAGCAGTATCATCATCGTAGAGGGCGGTGGGGTAGCCCAGTGGTTAAAGCGTTCGCTCGTCACGCCAAAGACGCGGGTACAATGTGTGAAGCTCATTTCGGATGTCCTTCGCCGTGATATCGTTGTGATATTGCTGTAATATTGCTAAAAGCGGCGTAAAACCATACTCACTCACTAACATAAGTTATATTTGGGATTACACTTTCTTAGTGACTCACTATAATCATCGTAGATTATACTTACGTCTGGATAGATGCTACTTTCATATCATATGCTATAATTATATGTGAGATATGTGTTATGTAATGTATGTAGATCTATTATATAGGGGGTGGGGCAGTCTAGTGGTTACAACGTTCGCTGAAGACCCGGGTTCGCTTGCCCACATGGGTACAATGTGTGAAGCCCATTTCTGGTGTCCCCTGCTGTGATATTGCTGGAATATTGCTAAAAGTGGCGTAAAACTAAACTCACTCACTCTCTCGTTATAACCGTGTTCGCTATAAACGCACTTTTCTGTATTTTTCTTTGACGTTGACTGTCTGTGGTATTTAGCAAGCGTCGGTATGAAATGAATAATAGAAGCCGTGATTAATTATCCCTACGCCACCTCGCTGTTTTAACAGGACAATGTGAAGTTGCACAATGTTATCCTTTGTGAGACAACATGACATCATCACTGATAACGTGCGCCTACATGCCAAGTGGCTGGTACGGGCTGTATCCGCCAAGCGTGGGATATCGCGATTTGTTATTGCTGGTTATGGTGTCTATATCAGTGGTATTGTGTAACAGGTCATCACATTCCGTTTTGTTACGATGCCATGGCTGTATGTCCGAGCCAACAGCTCTGGATCGATGTCATCTATAAAATATATATCATGCAGTCTGCGTGAAAAATATTGATAGCGAACAATTTGCCAAATTGATCTTTAAGGAAATGATTGGTTGGTTGTGTAACGCCGCACTCAGCAATATTCCAGCAATATGGCGGCGGTCTGTAAATAATCGGGTCTGGACCAGACAATCCAGTGACTAACATCATGAACATCGATGTACGCAGTTTGGATACGATGACATGTGTCAACCAAGTTAGCGAGCCTGACCACCCTGTCATCACTGTCGTCATCGTCGACATTCACATTAGAATGAATATCATTAAGATTATCATTGTTATAAATATTATTATTGTGTTGAGCATCATAATTTGTGATTTTCTTAATCATTTTTCTTGCCATTTATCAGATAAACAAGAACTACATCGTCTGAAGTTTTATTCATATACTGTTTTCTTCTTTCAGCAATTATATTTGCTTAATTATTTATCAAATATTAACACATACACAACACACGCATGACCCGTGACGATCCTGGTTAGAATTGGTCTTACAACAGTAGGGGCGGTGGGGTAGCCTAGTGGTTAAAGCGTTGGCTCGTCACGCCGAAGACCCGGGTTCGATTCCCCACATGGGCACAATGTGTGAAGCCCATTTCTGGTGTACCCCGCCGTGATATTGCTGGAATATTGCTGAAAGCGGCGTAAAACTAAACTCAGTCAGTCTAGTCAGTCAGTCAGTCTTACAACAGTAACCCATACTTGTCGCAAGAAGCGACTAAAGGGTTGACACATGTCATTGTATCCCAATTGCGCAGATCGATGCTCATGCTGTTGATTCCTGGATTATCTGGCCTAGACTCCATTATTTACAGACCGCCGCCATATAGCTGGAATATTGCTGACTGCGGCGTAAAACTCACTCACTCACCCACTCACAGCACACGCATGAACTTAAACAGAATTCTGCCTTGGTGTTTCTACCGTGACATAAAAATGAGCAAAAATGAGTCTCGTGTTTGTTTATTTCAGTAATCAGTTGCCATCAGACCACGGCAGTAAATAATCCAGTTGTTACATTCACGATGCAGTCGACAACGTTGATGTCGTTCAAAGTGCCATCGACGTAGGTATATCATCTGAATGTGTTCTGGCGAGAATTCATGACGCGTCCTCGAATCCAAGGATGACCCAACCGAATGGCAATAGATATACTCAGCAGTTATGCCATGATTTCGAATCATAACCATTACGCCAAATCACCCCATTGACTGGCATAGCTATTTTCTGCCTTGATACAGAAAACGAGCGGTGGCAGTTGTGTGGTGCTCAGTTATTGTGGAGGAAAAATCTCTTTGTGATAATTTGTTGGTTAAAAGATCGGTTGAATCAAGTTTGTTTGTTTCTTTATTGTTTGACACCGTACTCCAATATTCCAGCTTTATGGCAGCGGTCTGTAAATAATGGAGTCTGGACCAGGCTATCCAGTGATTGACATCACGAGCATCGCTCTACGCAATTGGTTTGGTTTAGTCTGTTGGTTTACGCCGCCCTCAGCAATATTCCAGCTATATGGCAGCAGTCTGTAAATAATCAAGTCTGGACCAGACAATCGAGTGATCAACATCATGATCATCGATATATGCAATCAGGATTCGGTGTCCCCGCCATGATATTGCTGGAATGTTGCTGAAAGCGGCGTAAAGCAAAACTCACTCACCAAGTCAGCGAGCCTGGCCACCCGATCCCGTTAGTCGCCACTTACGACAAGCGTGGGTTACTGAAGACCAATTCACTGAACCCGGAATCTTCACGGGTTCTACGCAACTGGAATACGATATCGATGACATTTGTCAACCAAGTCAGTGAACCCATCACCCAATCTGGTTAGTCGCCTTTTACGACAAGAAATGATTGCTAAAGACCAATTCTAACCCTGATTTAACGTATTCTTAGCCGGAATCAGTATATTCGCCTGATTTGACCCAACTGCGTTCCATGGTCTCGCGTGCTCGTGATATTCAAAGAATTTGTAACCGTCTAGACCTCGGTCGTTAAGCGTTGTTGTCACATTAAGCTGGCTCGATATGATGGATTCACTGAACGTTCTCACGTCCGAGTTCATTGTATGGCAAGCAAAGGATATCAGATTGCAAGCATGCTGTGATACCATGCCGCGGTTTACACGCATGCTGCTCTGAAACCGGATACAGATTCCCAGATTCCCAATCCTTGTATTGTCCATGAATTCCGAGCAAGTACCACCTCTTAACGTCATTTGGCATGACGCCTGGAACGCTCTTAAATGTTCCAGTAGGAGGGTTGGGGTAGCCTAGTGGTTAAAGCGTTCGCTCATCACGCCTAAGATCCGGGTTCTATTCCCCACATGGGTACAATGTGTGAAGCCCATTTCTGGTGTCCCGCCGTAATATTTCTGGAATATTGCTAAAAGCGGCGTAAAACTTCACTTACTCATTCACTCAATGTTCCCTGCAAACTCTGTGTCCACTAGACGGTGGCGGTTGAGACTTTTTAATTCATTTATCTCAAAGCTATATTGTAACTGTAATAAAATTATTGATTTATTTCCTAAATATACAGAATCAGGGCCTTCGAACACCTCCACAATACCTGCTGAAGGCGACGGCCCACGTGGGCTTAAAGACGTAATCTCTTGGATCCAGGTGGAGGCACCTAGGTTCGGGTCCCGAGGTGGGCACATGTGCGTATTATCCTTGGACAAGATACTTAAATCCACATCGTCTCAGTTCACCCAGCTTTAAAATGGGTACCCGTAAGGATGTGCTGGCAATGTGAGTGTTTAGTTCATTGATCTTAACAGGCAGCATGGCTGTATGATCGATCCCCAGAGAGCTGAAAAAGCATCGGAAAGAACGATAGTGTCCTGTGAGCGGGGATAGTAACGTACATAGCGCAGTGAGCAGGCATCGTGCTTGGATATGAGCACCATATATGCGGACTATTACTATTACTTTAGTTTTCAATGTATATCCGAGAATGGTTTGCAAGATTGGTGTAGCCCATTTCTGTTTTTTCCCGCCCTAATACTACAAGGAAATTGCTAGCAGCGGCGCAAAACAAGATTCACACAACAACTGATTTTTAAAAAAAATATTTGGGTCTCTATTTTCCGTTAAATTGTTTTATGACGTTAGCAAGGACACTCACATCCTTCACCTAACGACATCAGCTGTTACGACTATACAGTCACCATCTCACAGTGATGCTGCAACAAGATCTGGTCGTTGACAAACAAGATGGTAACTTTGTAACGGTCATGTGGAAAGACTGACTGGCGGAAGGATGAGTCAGTAAAAGAAGTGCTCGGAATGTGGACTCAGGTATCTGCTGTAGTCGGCGTGTAACGCCGACCGAGTAAATCTGACTAGAATGAAGTGCTGCTTTCTACACATGCAGATTGTGTTCCTGCTGTAGTCGCTGTACAACGCCGAGTTGAATCTACAGTTATAGAAGTGCTGCGTTCTACACATGCAGATTGTGTTCCTGCTGTAGTCGTTGGACAACGCCGTGTTGAATCTACAGTTATAGAAGTGCTGCGTTCTACACATGCAGATTGTGTTCCTGCTGAAGTCGTTGTACATCGCCAAGTTGAATCTACAGTTATAGAAGTGCTGCGTTCTACACCTCCTGATAGATATTCTCGCTGTAGTCGCCGTGTAACGCCATATTGAATCTAGAGGTATATTAGCGCTGCGTCCTATACATTCTGATAGATATTCCTGCTATAGTCGACGTATAATGCCAGGTTGAATGAACAGATGTAGAAGTGCTGCGTTCACTCTGATTTCTGCTGTAGTCGCCGTGTAACGCCGACTTGAATCTACAGCTATAGAGGCGCTGGGTTCTACACATCCTGATAGATATATCTGTTGTAGTCGCCGTGAAATGCCAGGTTGAATGAACAGATTTTGAAGATGCTGCTTTCTATACATAGTGATAGATATTCCTGCTGTAGTCGCCGTGAAACGCCCAGATTTACCTGCTGTAATCGCCGTGTAAAGCCAAGTTAAATCTACAGGTATAGAAGCGCTGTGTTCTACACATCTTGACGGTTATAACGGCAAGTGACTTTAACAGAACAAGCCTTCTTCCACAAAGCGACCTCAGCACTCTCGAAGTGTGTGTTGAAGTATGGGATTTACGATGATCGCAGTGCTGGCAACTG